AGAGAGCTTTAAACAAGGTGCTCCGCTCTGCAAAGAGGACCGTGGGGTGTGAGCTTCCTGTTCTGGAGGTTCTTTATGAATCCAGACTTTTAAACAGAGCTCTTAAAATTATCAATGACTCTTCTGGCCACCCTGGGAAAGCCATGTTCCAGCTTCTTCCCTCTGGCAGAAGATATCGGTCGCTGAGATGCAAGACATCTCGCTACGCTAACAGCTTCTTTCCACAGGCTGTTAGGCGCCGAAACAGAGCACTTTAATTCCTGCTTTTACCCCTTGTATCGTTTTTGTTGATCGGTGCCACAGTGTCAGCTGTTTTTTCTTTTTCTTTTATTTTCAGTGTATGTGTATTTTATATTACATTGTATCGTGCTCTTTATTCTGTCGGTGCACACAGAGAAGTTTTTATACTGCACATGGCTAATAAAATGAATCTGAATCTAAATCTGAAGCGAGGCAACCAGTCTGTGCCCTCGGCCCCTCCGACCATGCACCACCAACCACTCACGCAAACCAGACCAATCCTCCATGTGCTGCTGTTTGTCTGGAGGGTGATGCCAACTGTAGACTGTGCGATTTTATGATCCAATATACAGTGCCTTGCGAAAGTATTCGGCCCCCTTGAACCTTTCAACATTTTGCCACATTTCAGGCTTCAAACATAAAGATATAAAAAATTTAATTTTTTGTCATGAATCAACAACAAATGGGACACAATCGTGAAGTGGAATGAAATTTTTTGGATAATTTAAACTTTTTTAACAAATAAAAAACTGAAAAGTGGGGCGTGCAATATTATTCGGCCCCTTTACTTTCAGTGCAGCAAACTCAGTCCAGAAGTTCAGTGAGGATCTTTGAATGATCCAATGTTGTCCTAAATGACTGATGATGATAAATAGAATGCACCTGTGTGTAATCAAGTCTCTGTATAAATGCACCTGCTCTTTGATAGTCTCAGGGTTCTGTTTAAAGCACAGAGAGAACCATGAAGACAAAGGAACACACCAGAGCGATCATGGGCCTCTTGGCTGCATCTCTGATCAGTCTTCTCCTTGTTTGAGATGAAAGTTTGGAGGGACGGCTGGGTCTTGGTAGATTTGCAGTGGTCTGATACTCCTTCCATTTCAATATAATTGCTTGTACAGTGCTCCTTGAGGTGTTTAAAGGTTGGGAAATCTTTTTGTATCCAAATCCGGCTTTAAACTTCTCCACAACAGTATCTCGGACCTGCCTGGTGTGTTCCTTTGTCTTCATGGTTCTCTCTGTGCTTTAAACAGAACCCTGAGACTATTAAAGAGCAGGTGCATTTATACGGAGACTTGATTACACACAGGTGCATTCTATTTATCATCATCAGTCATTTAGGACAACATTGGATCATTCAAAGATCCTCACTGAACTTCTGGAGTGAGTTTGCTGCACTGAAAGTAAAGGGTCCAAATAATATTGCACGCCCCACTTTTCAGTTTTTTATTTTTTTAAAAAGTTTAAATTATCCAATAAATTTCGTTCCACTTCACGATTGTGTCCCACTTGTTGTTGATTCATGACAAAAAAATAAAATTTTATATCTTTCTGTTTGAAGACTGAAATGTGGCGAAATGTTGAAAGGTTCAAGGGGGCCGAATACTTTCGCAAGGCACTGTATTTGTTATTGTTAGTAGTTTTGTTAAAATCTGTATTCTCAGCCATGTAAAGTGTTTGCCTTATTAAAGTTACTCAAAAGGCAAGGCAAGGCAACTCTATTGGTATAGCGCAGTAATACGGCATTAAAATCATAAATAATCACAGGGCATTAAAAAGAGTGAATCTATAATCCCTCAGTTCTTTGCACAGCTAACATCAAAATAACGAGTAACTGTAAGAACCAACTCAAACATTGTTGTATTTAGTTACTTCCCAACACTGATTGCGAACGATAACAGCGGTGATTCGAGCAAAGCTATAGAGATTTTCTGTGGACGACGTTTTGTGTCGATTATGGCGGAGGACAGCTGACTTGACTGACTTGATTCAAATGCAACATATGGACACAATAAAGGTGAAAGCGTCTGTATCGCTCCATTGGATGACCCACTGATTGGTTAATGATGTGCACGCTGGAAGACACGTTGCTAATGGACACTTGATGAGTCCAGATTGCGGCACAGGTCTGTCGGTTTCATCCCATAATATCCGTGTCACACCATCTAATCCAATCACGCCATTACAAGCAGACGCAAATCAGAATCCCTGTCTCCATCTGACTAATTTCGAAGCCCTCTTTTGGACACATCAGCCTATTTCTGAAGCGCTGATGATTGTGTCTTGTGCAGAACCTTTGATATCTGCAGTTTTAACTTCCAGAAAGCCTTGACCCTCCCATTATAGCTCGGGGCTTTAAAAATACTGCCCTTGTCATGAGATCGGTCAGCGGCGGAGTTCTCATATGTCAGCCTTGGCCCAGATTTCGTGGTTTATCTTTTGAATCAATAATCTTAAATCGATATGTGCACTAATGAGGAAGGTGCATTACTGATTGGCCCCAGGGTTTGAACGTGTGCATAAGTGAAGGTTACTGAAATTCTGCCGTACCCTTTCTGCATTTGCTTCATGGTTTGCAATATAATTGGTTACTATTGATTGGGCTACAATTATACATACTGTATACAGGAGACACTGTTATTGAAGATACAAAAGTAGTAGAATGCAAGAGGGTTTTTGTAAACTACTAAAAAATATACTATATAAAAGGTAAAAATGCACCTTTGTATTGGGGTGAATAATATTTTGTATATGCAATAGCTTCTTAAACAATTTACTACTCAATTTAGGGACATTTATGGACATTGGCCACTCCCTATGGACCGATGGCCTCTATGTGTTTGTTTTATTGCATTTTTGTATTCTAACTTCAGTATTATATCTGTCTTTTGCAAATTGAAAACTTTGTAAAGTCCTCCAAGACGACTGCTGTTGTGATTTAGGGCTGTAGCAAAAATGAATTTGCAACTCAATTTTCTTAAACCAAACTTAAAGAAATTATTAAATTGTGAGCAATATGTAGAAAACACCTGAAAACAAATAGTTTTTCTTGCTGTTGATTGTCCTATTGTAATTAAGGCAAAGGAAGGTTTCTCACCCATCATCTGTACTTCTTAGCAGGTTTAAGCCACGTTTGTTGTGTCACAAAAAAATCTTGCTTTTCTCTGGTTGAATTTTCTGGTAAATTAGTATTGCAAAGAGTGTAGCAGAGATTGGCTGGTATTACGCAATAATTCAATTTCTAATGGATTTTATTCTGAACTAATAGTTAGTCTTCCTATTAAACATAAGATATACACAGTAGATTCTTTTTGCATTTACATCATAACTAGTGCAGAAACAGGTTGATCAACTCATTTATTATGACTAATTTAGTAATCGTTTCTGAACCTTACATAGACTTGTATAATGAGGTTTTATATTGTTATAATTACAATGTTATGTTTACAAAGTTTATGTTATCAAACGACCCAATGTGTAACAAGTCATCTATGAAGATGCTTTTTTGGGCAAATGTAGAACCAATCTTTACAATCAATACAACTAATTGATCAATCAAAAGAATAATGAGCCAACGATTAGATGATTAAAAAAACAATCGTTACCTATCAGAGAATGTTCTGGCCATAACCGATACTGTACATCTAGTTTGAAGAATAATGATTAGGTGCTCAAGCAAACAAATCTCAGCCTTCTTTTCATGCCTCTTTCATACCATTTGAAGAGAAAAGCTGCTTAGATGTGTCAAACCTGTAATCTGTAGGAAAGCATTTCAGTTGAAGTATCCCTTGAGTATATCTGACGCCCATGCTGTCCTTAAACAGACCTTCACTTCAACCTATATGCAGTCTCAAGTGGTGGGCACAACACATGCAGCATTTACATATGTATCTCAAAAAGAAAAGGCAACGTAAAGGGGCAATCAATGAAGGTGGCTTAATGCAGACATGAGGATGAAAGGGAGCAACAGGGGCTGGGGAAGAGAATAGCAACAGCATTCACACATTTCTATTCAGGAGCGTGTAGAAACTAAACAGCCTTTTTGGTTCCTCTCATCTTCTCTCTTTTCAGCACTTTTCTTTTTTTAAGCTTATCCTCACATCAAAGACAGAAAGCCGCAAAGCTCTCACAGGATGTTGTAAGAAAAGCTTCTACTATCTTAACATGTGTTTTGATTGTTCTTGTGGGAAAAGTTACACAATGTGTACTTCTACAGATTACTGATATTGCATTGAATGCTTGTAATTGTTATTATGGTATAATTGAAACATCTCACCAACTTTCCAATGCCTGCTGGACATTTTATTTGACCATTAAGGTAGAGGGTAAAATGCTGTTAGGCAGACATGGAATCACATTACACAACTGTGTGCTGAGGCACTTCTACCAGGGCTCGCTCCATAAACAGCACATTTCGGACGCAAACATTATACAAACTTAATGGCTCTCTGAGCGATACTTTTGCTACACTTGATTGAGAGCTTTGTTAACCATTGACCACAACAATAACATTGTCCATTGGCACAAAGATGTTTCCCTTTTCTCTTAGCTCATTCTCCCATCCTAAGGCAACACCTCCGGCTTTTAAAACCCAATTGCCTAAAATACGGCCATCATATGCTTGACTTGAAATGCATGAATTGGGGGAAAAAAGATAAAATTCTCTTTGTAACCTGGTGAATGCTCTGGCTCTCTGTGTGGTATATATGTGGTTTTTGAGGCTCTTTCAGTTCACACACTTTGACAACGCAGTGACATTTTGAACAATACATCACCTTTTCACCAGTGTGCAGAGAATAGAAACACATTCACTTTCTTTTGAGGCAGTGTAGCCACCCTGCTGCTCTGCTGACCCTGTCACACGTACATAAAGAAAGCTGCCAAACAGTCAATACAAACTGTACACGCCGTCATATTCAAATGCATATTGTAATGCTGCATACAATAGTGACTTTTGACTTCATTCTTTTGATCACAGAATGTGTCCTGCTACCATGGCGACGGTGACTCCTCCCCTCACGTTCCTCTTACTGCTACTTCAAATGGCTGACGGCTCATTCCCAGAGGAACCCAACCCGCTCAGCTATGTCCCAGTGGAGGGTATGTGCGTCCTTCCCTCTTTAATGTGTGTGTGCCTGCGCCGTGATAAATGGCTCTGTGCTAGAATTGGAAATCAGGGGTCAGAGGTGCAAGCTCGGGTGTGGGGAGATGGGCTCGGAGCTGGAATACTAAAAGAACATCTGATTCAGTCTTCAGTATGTGCTAGATTTTTAATAAGAAAATGAGAAGAGCACATTTTGGGTCTGGGTGTCTGCGAGAGAGATGCAGAAACAATTATATGGGATGGGGCAGAGCGGATGACAAACGAGAGGGCTGAGGGCGGAGATGGGAGGAGACAGGCAGGTGGAGATGGATAACTGTGCTACTCCAGCCTCCCCTGCAGTCAAGGACAACAAGGCCGTTTCACAATCTGTCTCCAGGCGACAAGGACTCCCTGTGGAGACTAGTGTCCTCCGTCATCACAAACTTTTCACAGGCCAAAATCTGAAAAATATGACACTTCCACTTATACCCTGTTTATGTAGAATGAATGTTATTGTTAATGTTCCCCTGGGATAGTCATGGACCGATATGTTACTTGCTATGAAAAATTGGATCACAAAGTAGTAGAGATAATGACTGCTTACTCGAATTACCCACACTAAATCTATAAAAAGGGACTTAATTTAATGTTTGAATAATGTAAAATATAGCCATTTCACAAATTAGTGTTTTATACACATTGAATTATACTGGGGCGACAGTGGCTCAGTTGGTAGAGCATTGGCCTTTGAGCCTGACGGTCGTGGGTTCGAGCCCACCATAAGACCTACTTCACGACTCCCACTGATGATTGTTGTGTCCTTAGGCAAGACACACCCACTTTGCCTGAAGCCCCCGCTGAAAAATCAAGGCTCCTGTGGACTCACCACCTGCAGGAGGATCAGTGAGGCGCTGGTGCTCTGTGTACTGGGTGCAGCTCTGACTGCCACCCCCCCCCCGACCAAGATGGATTGAGGGGAAGTTAAAATTATGAACAAATAATTGGAAATAGATGCAAACATAAATACATTTTTCTTTCTATTAGTGATCTAATGAAAATATTACAATTACAATCCAACTTTGTTATTTTTTGGTGTGAATTTTGTTAATTTAAAAATTCCTTAAACAACACAAGCCCAGCTAAATTCCACCTAACAAACTGGCAACATATTTTAATGAAAATATGACCTACTATCCTTTTAAGTAGGGCTGAAACAACTAATCGATTAATCGATGACTAATCGATTATTGAAATAGTCGACAACTATTTTAGTAATAGATTAATCGTTTTCTGGTTCACACGGACTCAAACAGAGCAAAAATGACATGAAAATGTAGTATTTTTGATTAAAACTGACTTTGTTTTTATAATTTCATGAATATCTGTCTGTCTCATCCAATCAGATAGCAGAATTAGCACAAAGAGCCTGTTACAAACATTTACTTTAAGTTTACGCCATCAATACGTCCTCGAGTGTTGCCACTTTAGCTTTTTGTGATGAAAAAATATTTTTTTTCTACACAATTCACAGCCAAGCGATTACTCGATTAATCGTAAAAATAATAGATAGATTAATCGATTACAAAATAATTGTTAGTTGCAGCTCTACTTTTAAGTATCCTTTCCAATGGGACAAGTTCATTTATTTCAGTTTTGCTCTAATTTTCTGTAGATTTTTTCTTAATTCAATTATAAAAACACTATGGACACATTTAATATGATGAGTGAGTTTGTTAAATGAAGGGCATTTTAACACAATATCGTAACTTAAATCTATATGACTAATTGCATTCAAGTATTTTGTGCATCTCGCAACCCACTTTTTGGTCCTAACTCTGATCTAAAATATTTTAATTGAGAAGGAATACAATTGTAAGTCTCATAGGAAAATGTTGTCCGATCAATAACCACAAATGCTGCAAAGAAAGCAACAGCCTTTGCACATTTAAAAAGTCATGATAAAGACATTTTTAAGTATACAGAGGAGTTTAAACAGAAGCTGCCCTTTCTCTGTCCTCAGCTCACACACTTAAAAATGTCCGCCTCTTTGCCTTGTCCCTTGTCTGATTATGTCCATGTTTGTTGTGATCCATCAGTGGTGAGGAGGTACCCTGTATTTCTGGGCAGGGCGCACCGTTCGGCTCAGAGACAGGAGCTGCACATTCAAACCGTCCTCCAAGTTAATCGCACGCTCTACATAGGAGCCAGGTAACCAACGGCAACCACCTCCAACTGTGTGCGTGGTGCATGTGTGTGTGTGTGTGTGTGTGCTCATGCGTGTGTGTTACTGATGTCTTCACATTAATATTCCCTTTTTATGTCCCGGGTTCCATCTGCTGTCATTCAGTGGATGAGGGTTGTCAGTGATGTTTCAAAAAGCTGTTGCTAAATGTCAAGTTGTTTGTTCACACTAGCGACTAAAGGACAGATTTATCCTAACATGTTATTTGTAGGCTGCATTGGGGTAAATGCAAATAGTTGTGGTATATGAAAACAAAATTATGTTTCATTTTAAGTGTTTCAACAGTGGTTTCTTATTTATGAGTAACAGCAATTGGTATTTTAAGCTGTGATACCCATGTTTTTATCATATTTTTAGAAAACATACTATTTTAGATATGTGTATACTTGTGTATACACTATATGTTTTGGGCTGAGAGCTGTTTGGCTGAGGATTTTTTAACTTGAAGATTTGTAACGATGTGACAAAGGCCAAAAATACACGCATGGGAAAACTCACCAAACCGTTTTCAGAGCTTTAGGAATAGAAACTAGTTAGATGGATTTGGAGGTGGTTCATTTCTTTGGAAATGATCATTTATAATCATGCTGGAACAGTATTAATGGAGATGGATCATTATTATATATTTAGTCATAATTCTAGTCATAGAATTTACGAATTTACATGTACGAGTCAGGTTTGTGGTGATGCAAGCCCGCTCACGAGTTATTTACTCAGTTTACAGAACCTTAATTAAAATCATACTTGCACCGAGGGGCTTCACTATTGCTCCTATGACAACGAGTAAATGCATGCACTGCTGCAGCAACAGGAGATGCAGAAAGTATTGAGACAGCAGCTCTGTCTAAAAGCTCTAAAGTCTTGTAGTATGATTGTACTAATGTCAATCAGACATTGACATCACGCTTTTTAAAACAAAGTATTTCCCTTAAATTAGTTTTGTCCTAAAATGACAAAATGAAATGATAATCACATATCCCTATCCAATTAAATGAATAAAATCCTTGTAATTTCAAATGATGATTATTATTATTAATCTTTACTCATTGAATGCCAGCCTATTTCAGAACAGGTACTCCCACAGTGCCAGCCATTTCTGATGATTTTTACTGATTTTTCAAGACCCACAGAATATTGTGTACTATGACTATCTGAAATCCGACACCAGATTCTAAAAGAATGGACTGTCTACTTTCCTCAGCAAAAATTATTTTGTTTATAGCTTTTTTCGTTCCCCTGTAATCCTCCGTCGAGTAGAGGGAAGTTTTACTGAAATCACCAGAAATCACCAGAAAGTTGAGAAAAAAGAGGCACAACATGTGCACCTACATGTTTTCAAACCATTCAGAGAGAAATGCTGCCACCTGCTGGCTCGATAAAATATGATCTTAAGTCATCCCCATACATATTAGATATAATAGACATCTGGGAACGTGAAAATAGCGAAAAAGGCATTTGACGTATTAATGTGTCAATGGCACACGACGTTACTATTTGCTTTGACGTATTTGTGCGTCAATGGGACACAATGAGTTTTTAAGGACACAATATAATACAGTCCATAATACAACAAAATACAATACAATACATAGAGTATATTGCATATAGAAAAATAAGTATGTATAAAAAAAAGGTTAATTTTGAAATTTGAAAAAAAAAAGGGAAAATAAATCAATTCTACACCCCCCTTTGTCCATATGGGCAGGCCGACAGTAGTGATACTTCTTTCACCTTATATTTAGAGCATACATTTACAAAGTCACTTATTGTGAGTCTGTATAAAATATTGTGTATTTTTCTTTTTACCTATTGTGTAATACTTCATTATTCAAAATCATACAACCTTCTCTGTTTTGTCGGGCAGAGATGACTTGTACAGAGTGGAGCTGGATAACACGGCTGGAGATGAAATGTTCTACAGCAAGGTAAGGCTTATTTTCATGTTCAATGAAGGGAATAAAAAGACAATAAAAAAGATAATATCCAGTTTTCCTCTCTCCCTTTGTTAGAAGCGGACGTGGGAATCTAATAAAAACGACATCCGAGTGTGCCGAATGAAGGGCAAACACGAGGTATAGTACGATAAACACAACACTTTGAAAGTCACTCTTGTGCACCGATTATACCCACGCAATCACACGCCTGGGCAGACACAGCTGTCCAAGGAAACTTCTGTGAGCGCACCTTCATATGGTATTTACACAAACGTGGTCTTATGGATGCATATCAGCCTCAACCACAGGAATGTTTGTGAATCATTTACACATCTTTCCGTCACCATGTTATGACCACAGCTGGTTGTGATGAAAAATTAACCATTTCATTTTGAACAGACTGACAACTGATAACAAAAAAAGGCTTGGTTGAACAAATGCCACAGTGCCAGCGGACAAATCCAATCAAAGCAAATACTGGAAAGTGAAAGAGAAGCAATGAGAAAACATTGGAGGGCAAACTGAGCCGAGAGACTGACACAGCCCTGGGGAGCAAACAGTAATCGAAATCACTTGAGGAGAGGAGCTAAATGCAGGGACATGTGTGTAGGTGGATGGAGCCAACGGGCTGAGGACACCAGGAGAGCCGAGGCTTTAAAAAGAACAGATAACATCGGATGATTGAAGGGAAAATAACATTTTAATAAAAGGACAAAGCGAGTGGGATTTTGTCTTGAGGCAGAGTAATGACAAGAGAGCAAAAAGTCAGATGCAACTGTTTCTGTCTCTTAATGTTTCTGCAGAGGTAAGAGGGTGCAGTGGAAGTGATTGGGATGCATCCAGTGTGTCCTAACAACCCTTTGAAAATGGACTCTTATCATTTGAAGCATATAAATGTGCCCATTTGAAAGATTTTTTCTTTTTTTCTTCTTCAGTAATGATTTGAAATGTATTTAATGCTAATTCCTGATTAGGTTGTTTTGTAAGAACGAACACTGGCATATTTTAGCATGAATTATACAGCAACAGAAAAGAGCACTTTTCTACCACCATTTGTCAAACGATAGAATCCAAAAAACATTATGCAAAGCGCTCATCATTCTCATTAAAATATATTCAGTGGAAATGGACGTTCTCAGGTGTATTTGCAAACGTTTTAAAAGGAAGATTTAATATTTGCCATGATTCTACAGGGGAATCTTATCTACGGCACAGAGGCGTATCTCCAGGTTTTGCGCATCTTGTCCGACAGCAGCTGTATGATCAGACAGTGGTGAAATATAGCCACAAAGGGATTCAGGTGGCACCCGCTCTCATCAACTTTTATGTTCCCGGGTCGCCGCTTTAAAATTCACTTCAATCTTCACTCTGCACTTTGAATCCGCCAGTAAAGTGTGTATCCTATTATTCCTTCATGGAGACTGTGCTTGATAATGTCATTTCCTTTAGGGATTGTAGTGTAATGTCATCTTTCTCTGCCTGGTGCTCTTGGTATCTCCAACTGGTTATTTGTGGCTTTACAGCATACTTTTTTATGTGCAACTTATAATTTTATGCCTGGTTTTAATCCTTCATTTGTGGTGTTTATCATTCCTGAAGGGTGAGTGCCGCAATTTCATCAAGGTGTTGCTGAGCCAACCAGAAGGCCTGTTTGTGTGTGGAACAAATGCCTTCAATCCCCTTTGTGCGAACTACACTGTAAGTACATAGTCGATGCAAAGTGCTTATTTGTAATGAATAGTGTGTTGCTACAATTAGAGAACCCGTTAGCAATTACTACTGTTGAGATTGTGCAAAGAAACATTTTGCCAATATTCAAGATTATTTATTATTTATTTCAATAATAATACTGTGAACACCAATACAAAATCAAATGTCTTTTTGGTTTAGAACACATGTGCAGCTTTTTTTCTATTTCTTTTATTTTCTGCCATTTTCCCATGCCATGACTGTCGGGGCTGAACTGAACGGGAAAAAAAACCATATCACTTTGCACCAATTGCTATTACTGCCAGATAGAAATGCACTTTCTATTTATTTATCTATTTATTTGACAATTATGGGGTGAAAATTACCCAAAAAACATTTTAAAATTATTTAATTTATTTGACTGGGTAAGGGTTAGGGTTAGAGTTAGGGTGTGTATTAAAGATATATAGGAGGATTTTACCAAATTATAGGAAAGAACGACCCTCTCCACTTTTTGAACAAAACTCTCTGGTCTTATTTGACGAGCACGCGTCACTAGAATGATTGACAGTTATGTGGACCAATAGTCTTGATGATCCACCCAGAAGTAGAAAATCCTCCTATATATCTTTAATGAACAGCTCGTAGCATATTTTGAAACAAAGTTCACATAACAGACCAATTAAACAGTGTATATGCTAGGGACTAGAGCATAAAGTTGGCTGCATTGTATAATTCAATGTATTCTTTTATAGCAATAAATGACAACAATAGTTATTTCGGAGGAATTAACACAACCGTTGAATTCGCCAACACAGATCAGAGAACCAAACACAAGAAATGCAATGATAAAAGCCATTGGTCCATAAGGGGCAGATGACCAATGCCCATAAATGTCCTTGAATGTCCATTAATGTTGTTGAATGTTCATAAATGTTGTTAAATGTTCATTAATGTTGTTGAATGTTCATAAATGTTGTTGAATGTCCATTACTGTTGTTGAATGTTCATTACTGTTGTTGAATGTTCATAAATGTTGTTGAATGTTGAGTGTCCTGGATCATCACCACTGTCCTTTTCCTTACATTGTTGCAGAGAGACACTTTGGAGTTGGTGGGCGAGCCTGTGAGTGGAATGGCCCGCTGCCCGTATGATCCCAGACACGCCAACGTGGCTCTGTTCGCAGGTACAGACTGCCCTTGTGTTTACCTTTACCAGTGATTTATGGTGCGGCCCCTCAGAGCAGCACTTGTTTGGTTTTAATCTTCCTGACCTTGTGCTATCTCAACATCCTTCCTTCTTAATCTTCCCTGCCCGCACGTCCGTACATGTGTGCTTTTTCTGTCTCAGATGGAAGTCTCTTTACCGGCACCGTGACAGACTTCTTGGCCATTGATGCCGTGATCTATCGTAGCCTCGGTGACAGCCCAGCCCTACGCACTGTCAAACACGACTCCAAATGGTTCCGAGGTACTTTAAAACTAAAACTTCTTCTAATCTCATCAAGTTTTGATAAGGTCTAAGACTTCCAAATAATGCTACTACAGAAAAAACAACAACATTTGATTGGTAGATGAATCCCTAAGTGGAGCACTCTCAGACAGATGTGATGTATTGAGGTTAGTCCTCTCAGTCAAGCCTATCGTTCACTGCAGAAAAACAAGCCGCACAGGTCAAGTCTAGAACATCAGGATGAATAAATGATATATAATGTGTATCCTCTTGTCCATTATGATAAATTAAACAGCACATGTATATTTAATGAGACCCAGCGGACGCCAGCGGCCCATGTTGATGTAAATGTTATTACTATGGCTGTCTTGCTCTTTGCTCTCAGCGCATTCCTCTGCAGTGAATGCATAAATACAAGTGTGGGAACTTACTAAATATAATCCTTTTGTTTTGCAGAGCCATACTTTGTGAGTGCCATGGAGTATGGACCACATATTTACTTCTTCTTCAGAGAGATGGCCATGGAATTTCATCATCTCGAAAAGGTTACTTTTTACCAAACCAATCATAGTCAGAGTTACTTTTGAATTGTTTGTTCAGTAAAAGACAAATCTACCGAGTTGTGTTTTGGAGATTTTTAAAACATGATCGACCCTCAGTATCAGTTTCAAACCATAGTGGTGGTGGTAGAGGAGATGGGAATGTTCAAGTAGATCAGCAGAAAAATGAAAACACTATTGGTACTACTGCATTGTTTTTGTTTTTTATGATATAATAAAATAGTGAATTACCTCCACGTACATCCAACAGTAGTTTAAATTTACTGGATGGACAAAAGTTTTCTATAAATCCATGTCCCAAGTTCCTGGCTCTAAAAAATTCCTGTCACTAGTTTTCAGAACTAAAAATAGGCTCTCTCTTTTTTACTTTTATGTCTCATTCAGCTCAAATAGACACACAGAGCTCTTTCTTACACCAAATATTTCAAGAAAAACAAAATGTATTACTCAAGACATCAGAAAGGGTAGGTACCCCAGCTTTTTAGTGATATCCATCTAGATCCTTTTGTTCTTTGCACAGTGGTGCTGTTGTGTTTATTCACCAAACCCTTAGCTTAGTGGCTAACATGGCTCCAGCTGCTTCAGCAGTAGCCAGTACCTCCCACTCGCTCCAATAACATTAGACCGCAAATGTCTGTGTACCCGGGAGAAGGTGGGCTTTGAGCGTAGAACTCCAAGGTTTTGAGGGATTCTTTACTCTTCTGTCTTTGAAATCAAACAGCCACACACTCAGCGCAGGACCACTGCAGCACAGCACCTGCACAGGGCCACAGCATGAGGAACCAATCAGCTCTCACGACACAGCCACTCAGAGACTCCTCATTGGCTCCTTTACTTTTGACAATTTAAAATACTGTTGTGGGCTGTATTTTAAAATATCAGCATACTGTTTTAAGTTGTAAATTAACAGCAATTTGCTACAACTGTGATGAGAGAGTGAAACTTTTTGAAAGCATACATTGGTTGGTCCCCCGCCCTTGAAGCCCCTCATTGGTTTTACTGTTTTCCAGCTAATCTTACTGGGTGTAGTTATGCAAAGGGGACGGAAATATTTTGAAATAGAGATTAAGTTGCTGACATCATCTTTAAACAGAGGAGCTGCATGAGGCTTTTTATCTCAGTAATATGGCCTTTTTAGTCAGTAGAACATTAGGCATTCTGTCAAGATCCCAGCAGCCCACAGTATGTACTCCGCAATTTGCTTGAAAAAGTCGTTTTAATTATTATTGTAGTCCACCCAGTCAGCGTCTTTCTGTATGTGGTTTCAGGTGATGGTGTCCCGTGTGGCCCGTGTGTGTAAGTCTGACCTGGGCGGTTCTCAGCGTGTCCTTGAGAAACAGTGGACCACTTTCCTTAAGGCACGACTCAACTGCTCTGTTCCCGGGGATTCACACTTCTACTTTAACCTTCTGCACGCGACCAGCAGCATCATACACATGCAGGGCCGAGACGTTATTCTTGGCCTCTTCTCCACCCCGCCAAACAGGTACATAGAGCTAAACATAACATAGGGAAGGATAGGCATCAAAAGTCAGTAAAGATTGTGTCACTTAATATTTGTAAGTAATGTGTGAGTATGGAATCAGATAGCAATATTGTATCAGATGAAAGTTATTGCCGCTCCACTCTAGTGCTACAATAATCATATTTATTCTCTGTGCCTGTAGCATCCCTGGATCTGCTGTGTGCGTGTTCGACATGCAGCAGCTGGCACATGTCTTTGAGGGACGATTTAAGGAGCAAAAATCCCCTGAGTCAATTTGGACTCCAGTGCCAGATGAGGCCGTGCCTAAACCCAGGTATTCAAATGCAAAGAGAGTGTAATCAGCTTTAGCAGAACACTACATACAACATCTATTTAATCTACATGGTACTCCCGCTCACTACAAAACTTCAGATTTTTGTTGTTGCTACTCTAATCGAGCAAGCTCTTCAGTCCTCAATTGCCTCAAAGGGACTGCCCAGCCACTCTGCATAAGAAATTATTTCAACTGCTTGTACGGCGATCTTGTCCTCGCGGTTTTCTGGAGCTCAGGCTTTCCGTACCACCCAAAACTTAAAGCAGTAGAATGAATCTGGTGAGAGAGTGAATGATGGTGGTGGTCAGAGGGGCGATGGCATAGACAAGCTGCCTCAATTCCATCACCATTAAGTGCGGAGTGAATGAATATTGACTTCAGTGTAGTGCTTTGAGAGGCGTATAACTATAATTATTAGAATCACTTTTAGAATAACTATATTTAAATATTCCCCACAACAGTTTGAAACAGCAGCACTGCAGACGCTGAAGCAAACCCTCTGTAAATGTCGCGCTCTATGTTTCCTTAACTTGTGACTACTCCACTTGAACAAGGACCTCTACACTCCCTGGAGAAGTCAAGGCATCCTTCTTCCAGGAAAAAAAAAACCTTTGCTTTGGATTTGGAGTTTGGAGGTGCTCATTTATATCATAGGAAGTTCACACTGGACTGCAAACCGAAGTCCTAGTTTGAAGCCTTCAGGACAACATCACCTGCAATGTCCCCTGGCTGAGCCTACAAATTCTGTCCATGCAAACCGATGACAGAGGGCAGCCCTGGTGGAGGCCGACATACAGTGACAAACAGGACCATTAAACATTATTAAACCTTTTGATGCAGATATTCCCTTTTGCTGTGCATTTTATACCCACACATCTGTATTCATTCTAATTTTAGGACACTATCACAGTATAATATCAGAGAATTAAAGGACTTGAGTGTGTCATTTTGGCTTTAAAGTGCACTAATGTCAGTTAGAACATACTTTTTATCATTATTTCTTAGATCTTTCCTTTCTCCAATAGCTGAATAAAACATGATACAGCTCTTTTACTCAATTTTTCTGTCTGAGTGTTCAACCCAGCACTCGACACTGTTGAGTAGATAAATAAAACGGTGTTGAATATACAGCACTAACTTGTCTCTTGTTTTTCTTTTAGACCAGGAGGATGTGCAGTTCAAGGCTCCAGATTCAGCACCTCCACCACACTACCGGACGAGGTGCTGAGCTTTGTGAAGACTCACCCTCTGATGGACGAAACAGTCCCGCTGTTAGGTCACAGGCCGTGGGTGGTTAAGACTATGGGGAGGTAGGTCCCATTATTGATGTGTTTTAGAACGATATGACATGAGATAAAGTGTGTGTTTGTTATTAGGTACCAGTTGACTGCAATGGTGGTAGACACAGAAGCAGGTCCACACAAGAACAGAACAGTGCTATTTTTGGGCTCAACCCGAGGAACCATCTTGAAGTTTTTAATGATTCCAAACGGAGATTTAGTCTCCCACAACAGTGTGTTTTTGGAGGAGGTAGAGGGCTTCAACCCGGAGAAGTGAGTACTGTCATTTATGCTGCATGTAGTTTAGAAATGGGCAATATCAAAACAGAGCACTTTTATGGTTGGTTTTAATGTTTAATGTGGATCTTGAAAGGTGCACTCTGCAACTTTCCTGATGGAGGGTCACACAATATGGCATTACATCGTTCTTCCCATTGGAGACAAGCAATTCATCTATTAGCAAACATTTGTTAAGATGTGGCTCAAAGTTGTATCTCATACTGAACAATACTCTAAGAAAAGAAATAACCCAAAGAAGAGTTTCACAACATATGTTTTATTTCAACCACTGTTAAAATTGTGTAAAAGCAAAACTGTTAAGTAATTCACAAAGCATTGTCTGATGTTTATATTTTCTGTCTTTGAATCACTCTATCACATGTGATAATACACACGACACACGACACATACATGTGACTAGATGGGACTCACTGTTGCCAGAATGTTTGAGAACAGCTGCCCTATACTTTGTCTCAAAAGCTTAAGATACTGAAACAAATGAACAATATGGAATATAAATTACTTAAAATATACTTTTCCTACCTATTGGATACTATTCCTCTTGTCATTGTGACTGTTTGCAGGTGTGGGGAAGACTCTCCTCAGGCTCGCCAGCTTCTGTCCCTGTCTCTGGACAGGACCAGCCACACTCTGCTACTGGCCTTCCCCTCATGTCTGGTCCGAGTGCCCACCTCCCGCTGTCATCTCCACTCACGCTGCATGAGGTCAGAACCTTTTCAATCTAATAGTTAGTTTAATATAAGCGTATAGAAAACTTGTATGGAGTATATACTGCCAGTGATGTGTGGTGCACACCGGGGTAGTCTTGCACAGTTTTTCCTATGTGGTTTTACTGCAAATGGCAAATAAATGAATCTGAATCTGAATCTGAATGTTGTTTGATAAGATTAATGCAATTGATGGACGTTTTTTGCTACTTTTATGAAAGTAAGATTTCCCAATGTTGTGTACAGAAGCTGTCTGGCCTCAAGGGATCCATATTGTGGTTGGACCAAAGGCAGCACTTGCTCCTTTCTGAGACCAGGCACAAGGTATGGTAGTCATAAATCACAAATATATTGATAGACTTGGTTTGGAAGCTTGGTAGTCCACATAATGAAACATAACATTGTGCTTGGTGAGAAAAGGGAGAGCAGAGAATTATTTCACTATAGATATATAGTTTGATTAACTTTATATCAATAATTCTCTATTCATTCTATGTTGAACAATGGTAGCCACAATGAGATATATTACATGCGTCCAGTTTCAACCTTATAAGTACAACCCTGGACTCTGCCTTTATCCTGTATCAACCTATGATTGATCAGCAATTTTAGAATATATGCCCCAAATTGCCTATAGAAATGATCCCTTTTTGTCAAATGCAGCTTATTATTGTTACTTACTGTCCTCTGATGCATGCGTATGTGTACTGCAGGCTCCCATTTCAACAAGACGTGGAGTATGGGAACACCACCTCCCATCTTGGAGATTGCGATGGTACGTTGCAGCACTATGACATGGACTTCAGCTGTGGGCTGAGGGCAGTCTCCACCTAGTGGTTACATAGATAAATACACCTGTCTGCTGAACATTTTGTTCTCTAAATGAGCAGACCAGAGGGATGTCCAAAGCACCTTTTGCAATTAGACAGGCTTTAATTACACCGAGGACCTCTATATATTGCATAGCAAGTTCCTAAGCTGCCACACATATAGAGAATGTGAAGAACTGTGGCAGATGGGAATCAATTTGATTCCAACAGATCAAATTCTCCAACAAATTACATGATGACACAGCTTGATTAAAGAGATTATGAAAGACAAGACTAATAAAAAAGTTGCATGAGGTAAAAGTAACATCCTCTCACTGAATGTATTCTGTCTGTTCTGTTAATATAAAAGAACAGACTGTCCATGGTTAGTTTTATTTTTTTTATGTAATTTTTGCTTAGAAACACCTTTGTCATCGTTGTAACATTAAGAAAGGACTGTCATGGGTTCGCTTCAGAGGCGTGACATGACAGTTTTTCAGAAAGGAAGGAAACACGCTAGGGACCATTCTAATATTGTCAATTACAATTAAATGGGTTTCCTCACGTTCATCCTGATTATATAAGTGATAGGCCTGTAGTGGAAGTGTGGGTCTGCTGTGGACCTGCCTGTGCTGCTGTGTCTGCAGATGGGAGTGATTAAAGTCGTGCTGGAAAGACTGAGGTAATGGTTCTCTGTGTGAGAGGAGAGAGAGACAGACTCAGTGACCGGCAGCAGGCTGGAAAGAGTGAGGAGTCAGCTGCTGTGGTCTGAGAGAGCTGATGATAGTTACAGGCCTGTATAAAGCAGAGCCTGTGGAGCCTCAAGGCAAGAGTGGAGAGAACCTCCTACAAGGACTTCTCCCACAAATTAGACTTTTAATGCACCACATTATGGCCAACATTTTAAAGTGTTATTGTAGATATTGATTCTTTTAGACTACCTCTGTCTTGTGGGGGTAAAGCACTAAGTCAAGGCTACAATGTAGCACTATAATGTATTGATGATGTCTAAAGGTACCCTGTGGACAGAGATCTCAAGTAGATTAACACCACAATTCAAATATGTCTTTTCATTCCATAGGCATCTTGCAACAAAGTTTGCTGATTGAACCAGAGAGCCTGGTCTCCCTGAACCTCTTGGTGGCTTCTGCAGTGTCTGCGTTCACCATTGGAGCAGCCCTGTCTGGTCTAGCAGTCTGCTGGATCATGGCTCACAAACCATCCAACCGGAGACATCATAGTGGTTCTCAGTCAAGTTTACAGCGACGTGACAGAGGCTTGATAAATAGTGCTATGGGAGGCTCTGTTCTAAGTGTCACACGCCAAGCTGGAGGTGAACGCCAGTGCTCTCAAGGTGGAGAGACCCTGTTTGTCATGCCCAACGGGTGGGTCAAATCTGGGGAGCTCGACCCTGGTTTTCTACCCACACCAGAACACACGCCCCAACAGAAGCGACGTGGACTCCGACTATCCGACTCCAACTCTGGAGGGTGGGACACAAGCCAGACATACCTGGGAGGTGGCTCAGTGGGGTTGGGCTCACCCTGCCGTATGCCTCCGTCTGTGTATCTGACCACCAGACTGTTCCAACAGGGTGGGGTGGGGCGCCTCAGCAATGACGGACGAGGGAACGACACCCCCCGCCAACACTACGTCTGTCTCAGTAAGCAGGAGAAATCACTGAAAGGGACCCCCAAGGCCCCCCTAAGAAAGTCTGCAGGTGATTATGTGTATCCCATGACCCCACAGGACTCCCCAGAGCGCCGCAGGGTTGTGTCAGCGCCCAGTGCGCCCAGTGCACCCAGTGCGCTCAATGCCCCGACTGCCCTGAGTGCACCCAACCCCCCCATAGAGTACAGCGAGTCTGTGCGCTGGCCACAGGAAGGATACATCCTGAGCAGTCACGGCATGGTCCCTGTTCCTCTACCACCACCCTCAATGCCTGCCCCCAGTAGTCAGGCGTATGTGTCCCAACAGCACACTCCTGCACTGAGCAGAGCGCTCATCCGGGGGGCACTAGAGCGGGGTGAGCTGACCGACTTTATGGACTTGAGCCATTTGATGAAGAAGAGCTGTAATGAAAGAACTCAGAATGGACAGTGACAGTAGAGGGACAAGAGCTCTGTATCTGACCCCTCCTTTTGTTTATGTCATTGCCATTCAGCCCCTGGCCTGTTGTATTGCTCCATGACTGTGACTGGCTCCTAGCTCTGTCACTCATATCCAGGCGCACACTAATTGGTCAGATGGGCTGAGGTTGTTGCTGTGTCTGCATTGCAGAGCTGCTACACTCCTTGGCTTCAGCAGCAGAGAAGAGAGGGATGTCAGAAAGGGAGGGGAGGATATAAAGATGTGGATAGACATTCAAGCCCTCAGCCTCTGCACATAAAGAATGGTTGTGGAGGCACTAGTGAGAGGCTTCTCCCTTTGTGGATAACATTAACGAGAACATCGCCCATCTGTTCTCCAGTATTGCTCCTTTGGCAAAGTCTCAAAGTAGGTACTTGAAGTCAAATGAGTAATTCTGAAAAAACATTCAATTAAGCTGAATTATGTCAAACTATTGTGACCTGATACCTAAAACATGGTCTTTTTCGAACAGAGGCGTTTTCCACACACTTTATACACGTTTATACACAGGAATGAGGGGAAGACATAACTGCCTCTAAGCTGCCTCTTGGGATGTGAGGCTGTAACTCTTCAGAGCTGACTGCAGCTCTGAATTGTCAGCAGATTTTCTGCTACTATACATCACCGACATCTGAAACGTCCATCTCTGTTTTTGTGTGCCTCATTCACTCTGTCCCTTTCACTCCGGGTACTCTCACAGACTTGTAATTCCACATGGACATTAGAGAGGAGTGGAATAAAAAGGACATCTACTGCAATGTGCTATGAACACTTTGCCATATGCTGCAGATGGGCCATATGTGTAAAAATTTACCCATAAGTTGTTATAATATGTACAACATTCATCATTTATTCCCTTCTAAGACACTGTGGGTCAAGGCCTCACAGATAGATAGATAGATAGATAGATTAATAGATAGATAGATAGAACAGTGAAAGGGATTGTGTCAGAGGATGAGGCCAACACAAAGCTAATAAAGGTAATGGAACCTTTCCCTGCAGAGAAATTGGGATATATATTGTGCTCATCAAAGTGTCCGGCGCTGTATGAAATGCTGCATGTTCAGATCCACACTACAGTCTGAGGATATGGGAGACATAAAACACAGACTGAGTGAAGCAGCCACATCAGACTGTGGGAGCAACAACACTTGCTTGATATTAACAATGAGCAGCAATATATGGTTTTTTTTGTATATACACATTGCATTTGGTAAAATTATAATGTAAGCCTATAACATCCCATCATAATTTATATGTAAGCTCTAACAAGCATTGACAGTTTCTTTCTGTGCCAAATGCATTTCGTATTTGTGACTGTTGACAGATTCCTCAAGAAATAAAGTGCCATATAGCATTTGAATTTTGCAGTGCACATGTCACAAACCGTATTTTTCATATCACTACTTGCAGTATTAATGATATATGCCTTTAGACTGTTTCTATTATTTCGTAATGCCAGCTTGTACTGTTGTAAAGTATCATCTCCCCCATTGCCTTTAGGCCAATGACTTTGAATGATAATTTAAAGGGTTTGCTCATTACCTACAATGCATTTTAGACTGTGTATTTACCGCTAACTTGAAATGTTTCTTTCTAGTTGTGATATTCATTTTGATTTACAAGTATGTTTTGAGCAAACCTTCAAACTGATTGTAATGCTGTGAGGGAACACTGTGTTTCATACGTCTTTTCAATTAACCTTTTCCACTCCAGTGATAGTACTGCCATACTGGGGGATCTTGAAAGAACTTTTCAGTATCTCAATTGAATGAATGTACTTTTTATTTTGTTCCATTATTCTGTGCAGTAATAAGAAAAAGCACAAAACCATTTTTATTATTTTTTTTGCCATTGGAAAAGAGGCTGCTGTGTACAATTTGTTAATAGTGTAAATAGAAGATACGTCATTGTTGAGTTTTCAGGGACACGTTGCTCTCTCCTGAGAAGGGGCTCTAGCCCTGGTGTGCATTTTTATTTGGCTGTGAATAAGATGTATGTACAGTATTTACGGGCTGATTGCTGAGCTCAGCCGTTCCCTGTTCTTAGTGTAGAGATCTCAGACACAACTGAGACATCTCATTTCAAAAATGCCTGCTGAATTAAACTTTTTTTTTGTCATTTACAGTTGCTAAGATACTGCTGTTATAATCACCATACATCTTTGGAGTATTGCTAATAAATGGCATTATAATAATTGGCTGCTGATGTTGTTGAGTCTAGAACACATACATCACACTGAACTCAAGTACAAATCATATTTGTTTTACTTTTCTGACTCTTCACTCCCTTTCAATAAACAGTGTTGCTACTGTATGGAGATAAACCCATCAGGATAATCATCACAATGTTGTTTACTGCAGCATAAACATAATTCTCCATAGTCACCACAAGGGGGAGATGCCCTGCTCCATGTGGCTCAGACAGAACACTGAAGATCAGTCAGATCTGGTTTTGGGGTCTCTGCTGCACATTGATTTACTGTGTGAGGCCTGACACAGTTTGAAGTTGAGTGGGCGTTAAAAAATGAGATTGTCCTTTTGTCTGCTTTGATTTAGTGCTTTGAACGTTGTAACGCTGGACAGTAAGGTCACATAAAGGTTGACAGACTATATACAGACTACATTGATTTCTAAAAAACAAACAAACTAATGGAGAGAGGACACAATAAAACACAAATATTTACATCAGAAAATATACATCTACCTATACCTACGATGTTCAATTGCAACTGATTAGTGGTTTTATTTTCACATTTTGGAGCCGTGACTTGCCAAATAATGTTGGAGCACACCGTGGGAAACAGACATTGCGGCTCACAAGAGAAACTAAAATAATACTAGCTAAATAGAATAAAATAACTGAATAAAAATAATTACAATGAAAAAATATGAAACACACAACAATATCTATTTTATTCATTATCATTATTATTATTAATTTCTTAAATCAACATGATCTGAACAATGTTGACAGGATTCTCTAACTTGCCGGGTTCCTCATTAAATCAAGAACATCTACAATACCTCTATCATCAGGACAAGACTCTTGAGTCTCGAGACACAAAATACATAAAAATAATACAATTTACTGTTGAGAATAAAAATGTTTAAGTAGAAAGTAATAGCTGATTGAATCAAAGCAGCAGTTGGTTGAGGCAATCCACTCAGAAACCACGTAGAACTTGTGAGGTACAGATATGGGCAGGCTTTGCCAGTTTTCTGGCACCTTATCCAGGTAGTTCACAACATAGGCCACGTTTATAGGAGTAAAACAAAGCACAAAGACAAACAGATTACCTATCACTATACCAATGATCCCCTTCTTCTCCGGTGAACTACTTTGCTTGAGCAAAATGTGAATAATCTGACTTGAACAAAATACTAGAATCAAGAGTGGAAGAAGAAAGCCCAAAACCAGTAGCAGAAGAATAATCTCCAACTTGAGAGGGATATTTTTGCATCTTTCGAAACAAGTCCAGAGATTCCTTGGGTAGTTTTCTTCTCTGAATACAGTGCATATAGTCAATAGGAGCCCCCATATGAGCAGACACACAGCACATGCAGTCTCCTTCTTTTTGCTCCAGGATCTGGCCCATATGGGGAACCTCACAGCCACGTACCGGTGCACACTGACCGCTGCTGTGGTCAGGATGCTGGCGTACATGTTCAGGTAATGCATGTTGAAGAGGAACGTGCATAGAAAGGTCTTAGGAAGACACTCATAGATATCGTCATAGATCCTGAAGGGGAGGAAGAAGATGTGTGTGGAATCAGCCACGGCCAGATTGAACATGTAGATATGGGTGTCGGTCCATGAGCCGCGTTTGGAGAAGAAGCCGTGAAAAAAACCAATTTGCAGCAACATTCCCAGGATAAAGATAATGGTGTAAGCCAGGCCCTGGACAGTGTCCCTTCTGCACTCAGAGGAGGTGTTGTTCAGGCACATGGTGCACAGTCTGCTCAAAGTGACAAGGTTTGGTTATTTTCTCCTCGTGGAAGACACAAGATGAATCCTGAATTAGTATACATATTAGGTTAGTTTAAACATTATTTGTTTTAATAGGGACAATGCAACATCTGACAAACATCTGAATGAACAAATGTAAATATGCCAAATTTAGAATCTCAAGTACTGTTTTCAGAACTTGTAAACCAAAAGTTGTTTTTTATCTGAATACTAATATGTAACTCATGTAGCAAAAATGCATAACGAATGCAGTCTTACCATCAAACTCACTCTTCAGAATCTGGTGTCGTCTACTCTACACAAATGCTCCTATTCAGATTCACAGAGGTCTGCACTTCCTGTGTTTTCTGTGGTTAGAGAGTTGTTAGTGCTCACCTTTACACTTCCCATAGCATTAAACCCTTGATATGACCTGATCCATCGCAATAAAAAAACATTATTTTTGAACATTTATCATATTTTGTGTTTTTGGGATATGCACAGGTGTAACCCATAAATGTAGTTGCGGAGAGCTAAAATCAAAGACAGGAGCTGAGAAAATATTTCAATCTGGAGAGACCAAGACAGACAAGTTAATGCATTTAGAAAGATGTATTGTTTGGCACTGGTTGTGGCTAGAAGCATGGTGTGAATGGGGCATAGGTGGAGCAGGAGCCAGGGCAGGAGCTCGAGGAGGTGCTGGGGAGGCGGTGAGTGTCAAGAGTTTCAGGAAAGGCTGGTTAGTAGGAAGTGGCTGCTTTTAAACTGCCCGCTTTGCTGTCAGTGGTTGGCAGGGGGGGCTGGCAGAGCTGTGTGATTGGCTGAGGCTCGAGGCTGGCAGAGTTGTGTGATTGGCAGAGGCTCTGGATGTGCTTGCGGTCTTCCCAGTCTGAGCTTAAGCTTCATACCAAGCCTCTTTAAGTTTTCTTGTATTCAAGAAACCATTATATGGTCAATATTCAACAATAAGTCGATAAGAAATCATGACCAGTATGTGACTATTTCCTATTTATTTTAGTGGACCTTTTGAAGGAATTTGGACAATATGAAATATCAATATGAAGTCACCGCCTCAAGGGTGTTTTCTTAGTGACTCACTGTATTTACTTAGTGCATCTATGTAAAACATTGTTCCAACAGCACACATCACAATGCATATGCAGCTTTGTCTCAGTGTGTATCTGTGGAAATCTGATTCATTTGTTTATGACGGAGGCAGTTCTTGTATTTACACAAATGAGTCACAAAACCAACCCCTGCTCCAGACCTGGAAACAGGTCTTCTGCTTCTGAAACACCGCTCCGGTTGTAATGGACCTTGGATCAAAGTAGAGGATGTGTGCAGATAACAGAACAGTTTTGTGAATTGAAAGTATTGTCTATAGTCTAAAGGACTTTGTGTTGCAGTAAAAATCAGGCCTTCAACCAACAGAATTCAAGACAGGAAGAACAACACAGACGTCAATACAATATAGGCAGCGGTTGTGCTTTGATACACTGATGTGAAACTTTAAACAGTGGGTTTGAAAAGCAGTGGTCTAAGCATCAGGCTGCTGTGATGGGGTCTGCGGACTGCTTGTTTCTATACATACGTTATTGTTCTTTGTGGAAAGTCACTTCAACAAAATGTATTTCCTGTGTTTAAAAAACACACACGGTGAGAAGACTCGGTTCTCAATTGATATAACTTGTAACCTAGCGTAGTGAAGCTTGTTTGTATGCGGAAGGTACGGGCTAAAACTGGACCCTGCACCAGGACAGGAGTGGAATGCATTTTTTATTTATAACTAAAAGTATTGAAAACAAAAAAAGACTTCCTGACTGCAGTGAGTGTTTAACTACATGTGCAAATAGTATAGTTAAACAACCCTAACCCTAACACAATGTCAAATTATTATCAGCATATCACTAATTAATATATTATACTGTATATAAGTATTACCTGTATATCTTTTGTTAATTCTATAGAATAAATTGGCACAAAAATAGGTTAAACTAGGTATAAACTTTACACAAGCAAAATTGAAAGTGAGCAGAGAGGAGTTTGAGGTTGAGGGTAAAAAGACAACAATAACAAACATAAATTAAGACATGATTTCTTTTTGTTTTCTAATCTATAAATCTATACTTTCACGATCCTCTACACAACCTTCACATCTCTGAGTGGTTAAGACTTTAAAGCATATCCTCTGATAGGTTCCCCAGCCACAGCATACAGAATGAAAAGTGGATTTATGTGTAATAGGAAAATTACAATGCTGACTTTTGTTGTGTTGATCTTTCCTTGGAAACGGACTACAGAAATAATTACATTCATCTGGGGAGCACTTATGCAAGACTGAACATTGTACGTTCTTAAAAAACTCCTTTGATCGAAAACTTAAGTAATGGAGTTTTTTTTTTTGCTTTCAACTGTGCAAAATGTGTGTAAAGGCCATTGTGTAAGGTCATTGCACACTGTTATAGCCATAATTTAGGCGTTTTAGCTACAATTGCAGTAGTCAATCAAGTTGCTCTTAAGCTATAGGCTCAATAGTTTTATGAATATTGTGCTCCTACAACTGATATCTTCTTCATTAAAATTGCTGTAAAAAAGAAGAGCAGGTATTATAGGTTGCCACAATACCCGCTTGAATTGTGCCATATTTGTGAAGGCCATTTCTAATCTGAGCTTGTGTTTTTATTGCTTTCCCAGCGCACTTCATTAAAAAACTACATCTGCCTTGTCCTCAGCATGAAGAGCAAAATATAATATAGTGCAGGAAATGAGAGGATTACATGTTTCGGTGCAGTCTGTTTTTGTATTCATTTTTGTGAGATCCCTTCAGGCTTTGGCTGTTTTCGCTCACACAGTTCCCAGGTCTGATCAAATCTAATGTAAAGCTGCGTAATCGAGAAATAAGCACTGTGAGTTGACTGAGGCAAATATTGCAATAACAACACGACCACCAATAGTTGGACACACAGAACCCAATTGCAAATCTTTCACAATGCAAGAGTCTAATGCAACATCAAAAAAAGATTAAACCAAGAAAAAAATCAAAAACGGCTGTAAGCAACTTGTTAAGAGCCGTTTTTGATATTGTCTTGGTCGGGCGGCACGGTGGCTGGATGGATAGCACTCTCGCTTCTCAGCAAAAAGGTCCTGGCTTTGAATTCCGGTCGGAACAGGGCCTTTCTGAGTGGAGTTTGCATGTTCTCCCCGTGTCTGCGTAGGTTTCCTCTGGGTGCTCCGGTTGGGGCTTTGATGCACCAGTGTGTTCGGTGACTCGCTTCCGTCGTCCCCGTTTGTGGAATGATTGCAAGGGCGTAGGTTTGCGTGGGGACCATGGGGACATGTCCCCACCAATATTTGGTGAGGACTAAAAAGTCCCCACCAAAATGACATGATGTCCCGTGACCCGGACGGTCCGGGACACATGTCTTCCGTTTGTGCACACGTCGCGCCTCCTCCTCGCCTCCAGAGCAACAGCAGCAGCAGCAGCACGTGACCCGTTCCTCTCTCTGCTGTGATTGGCTGTCTTCTTCAGCGCCAAACTGAAGCACTGAGCGACTGTTTAATTTTTAAAAGTTAGCCAGCGTGAAGCAAGTGTTTTTTTTTCGTTCCCTGAGCGTTGTAGCACGTGAGTAATCAGAGGAAAGTACTGTAGATCTATTACCATTCAAAGTACTTACGTTATTTCTAATCTGTCAGCGCACTGTTTAATGTTCCGAGGAGCTCACACGGCACAGACACAGAACAGAACTGGCTCCAATAAAGAAACAGGTTGGTTGAAAGGCTGAGAAAATACTCATTGTGCTCTTACTATCCAAAATGTATAAGTGGGTGTGTTGTGTGAATCAGGATAAACTAGGGATGAAAATATTCCACGGATCCACGATTTACAACCCTTATCTGCTGATAATGTGATTTCTGTGAAATGTGTGACAGCGGGCACTTGCTGTTATTTGCTCTAAGCACATTCAAGCAATGCACTCGAATGTGCACGTCCTGGTGCAGCTGCTGCCGCTTTGTAATGACAGCCGCGGCGCTCAGTGAAAGCACAGCTCTAACATGGTACCGAGCTCGGACCATATGCAGACAGAAGCATGTTGCAAGTGCGGGTCTCCCTCGTATCTCCCGCGTTTCTCCCCTGTGTCTCTGACATGTCTCTCCCCTGACTCTTCCCAAAGCGCAACCAGCGCTCCCGAAATTAAAGCTCGGATACCTAAATTTTCCATTGCGTTAACGATGCATGCTGGTTGTGCGCAAAACACACCACAACAGGTCATTTAAGTTTTTATTTTGCATACTTAAGAGCCCTGTGAGTCATTACTTGCCTTTTTGGGTTGTGAGTGGAATAAATAAAAAAGAAAATATAGAAAAATCCACACTGTTACTTATTGCCAAACTCTTGTTAACTCATTGTATTTAGAAATACTATGTAACTTTTGACATTGGCCAAGTTATATAAATGATTCTGCAGTTCATGTATATGAATCTCTGTTTTTGATTGTCTATACCTTCTTATATAATTTAGAAAAAATGCCACCTCCACAAAAAAAGATAAAAGATATCAGGAGCTTTTTTAACAGTTGGAAAGTAAGTAAGAGAAAGCACAAGTAATAGCAAATTATGAATTGTGATGATTAATCTTCTGTTAACATACATAGGAAACTCAACCAACAAAAGAGAACAATATAGGGAATGTTGAGGTAGAAGCAAACGGCCCTTCAGTGCATCAGGTGAGGTTGGAATTTTGTAGGTATGCATGGGACTATGAATTGTTTTTAGAGATTGATCGTATATGTCAAACAATGTAGTGAGCTACTCACTGTAGATTCTAATTCAATATTGTCTCCTCTGTTTTTATTTATTATAGGAAATTGAAAGATCAGAGCATGATTTATTTCAAGTATCGAGAGCAGTTCCTGAACTGTTAGAGCCTCAGGTGAGGGCTATTATGTAGATTTGGATTAGGTTTAAGTCAGTATAGAATGAACGCAACACAAAACTCAGAA